ATGGTTGATGGGGAGAAACATGAAGAAAACAAAATAGCTAGTGTGGACTCTCAACTGACTACTCCTCTACTATCTAAGCAAGATGAGAAACCATATTCTGTTGTTGTTGACATTGAGAAGGCTTCAAGGCCTACTAGCGGCAACAAGCAAGATGTGGCAACTAATGGACTGACTTATACATCTGAGGATATAGAGGATGGTGAAGTGATTGGTATCATCACCCTAGAAGATGTATTTGAAGAACTTTTACAGGTACATTGCTGCCCTTGAGACATGTCTTCATTTAAGTTTTTTATATTTATGTTTTATATTTCTTGCCTTAATGTTGAGTTTCGTTACCAATGCAGGAGGAGATTGTGGACGAAACTGATGAATATGTTGACGTCCATAAGAGGTAATGTAGCTGGAACCTTACCTAGTGATATTAAACACAAATGAAAATGAATACCCATGGTTTTTAATCTCTTTTTGCAGAATTCGTGTTGCTGCAGCTGCAGCTGCTTCATCAGTAGCAAGGGCACCTTCAATTCGGAGGTTAACTGGCAATAAGGCAGCCGTAAGTCAACATGTCAAATTATCTATACAATATAAAATGGGGGGTTTCAAGGCTTTATTCTTTATTTCAGTGCATTTACTATTGTATCTCAGTGGGCCAGCTTCCCCCATTGTAGTTCTGTCCTTAATATGTCTACCTGCAACCAGGGAACATGAGTATTGGAGTAACTACTTAATTAATGTTAATCTGACATCAAGCATCTCAATAAATTGATAGTACCCCATCGACCCTATGTACTTAAACACCCCATTTTCTGAGATGAACTCTAATTTGGAAAAACGAATTAAGTGCAACTTACCTTGGTAATCAATTCTTATTTTCTTTAGGGCTCCATGGTTTCTCAAAAAATTCTTCAGATTTTGTTGTTTGAGTTTATTTTGTTGATTTGTCCTTCGATTTCCCAGGGAGCTCAAAGTAAGCCAGGCCAAACCCCAAGGAAGTCTGCTGAAGCTCCCAACAGTGACCCTCATGTTGCTAACAGGAGATGAATTGTTACGTCATTGCCAAGTACTGATCCTGCGTCGGAACTGAGTATTTTTGGTTTGAGGCAGGAGAGGTTTGAAAAGATGGAAAATAAAAATGATGCAAAAATTGAATTAATTCTCTTCTCCATATGTTTTAGGGTTAGGACATGTTTGGGTATCAATTGGACTGGGAGGACCGTCGAATGGTCGTGTTGAAATGAATTGTATGCGAACCAGTTTGTCACTGTGAAATAGAAATCTGAAGGATATGTACTGTGTATTAATGTTTCTCTTATTTGTTTTGCCCCTATAATTTTCTAGTTACATTGAAAGTAGATCAGATCTATCTCCTGAATTAGGAAAGATTCCTTCGATGCGCGGAAGTTCTATGCTTCATCTTCGCCTCTATAGACTGGTATGTTCAATCCCAATTTCTAAGAGTTGGATCTTTTAATAAATAAATGTTGTTTTATAGATTAGATTTATAGATTAGATGTACTAGATTGATGTGAAAAATGTACTTTTGAGAATGTATGCAATATTAGTTTTGAAATATATAAAATTTATTTTGAGGCCCCTTTACTTTTAATTCTAAAAAAAAAATTTTAAAATTTTTGAGAAAACTAAAATTCCTTAGATTGTAACCTTACTTCTTAGTTCTTTTGCTCTAACTTAAAAGACAATACTTATAGCAAATCCAGTCTCTAGATTCTTAAAGCCATTTCTTGAAAATAAAACCTAGTTGGCACTAAATTAATTCAAGTCATTTCATTACTGCTGGGTGTTCATTCAACTTGCTCTTGGCAAGATGTATTAACTTGGTTCTGTAGAAAGACCAAGCGTAAAGCTTTGTACAACACACTTCTCAAGCTGGCATGGTGTGCATCAATCTATTACATTTGGACTGAGCATAATAACAGAATTCATAGGTAAGTGTTCACATCTCCATCTGCACTTGTGGATAAAATTCAAGCAGATGTTTGGGATAGAGTTCTTGGCTTTCCTAAAGAAAAGACATCTCCCTTGTCAAAGGAGGTTGCTACAAATTGGGGGCTGGATGTTCTTTGCATATGAATTTTGTTGAAATTGTAGTATTTTAGTGTATTGTTTCATTCTTTTTGTACAAAGTATTGGTAGCAGCTTAAAATAAAGTGCTGTTTAGTGTATTGTGTTGATTTAGTAATAAATTCACATTTCACAAAAAAAAAAATTAATTCAAGTCAATTAAAGTAGTAGTTAATTATCACCGTAGTTTATAAAAACTTTTTAAAATGTGTCTCAAGTGATTAAAAATTTGAAACTTTAAATTAGAAGACTCTAAATCAAACTTTTAGATGAATAAAGAAGGATAATGTAAAGAGAAAGTTATTATTTATTATTATATAACTAATGTAAAATAAAAAGAAAAAGGAAAAAATGGAAAAAGAAGTAGAGAAGCTCAAAATGCGCCTTGTTAAAAGAATTAA